ACTGAGCAAATTTGTTTAATCTTATCTATCAAACAATTCTCAGAATTCATACACTGTGCAAAGGTTGAGTTCATAAAATACTAATAAAATTCCTCAACATTTCCGGGGTTAAAATCACTAAGCATGAACATGGTTTCATACTTGTAGAAGCATCTTCAAGTGCAGTTATTATTTGACAAATTTAAGCAGATTTACTATCAGTAAACACAATCAGTACCTCTGCACTTCTGGATTATTCACAGTCCTGTTTTCTCTGTGAAGGTAAGAAAAACATCTGCATTTTCTTCTCTTTATGTTATGAGCAGTTGAATACTATTTACTCTTAAAAAGTTTGGCACTGATTTTATAAAATAGTTTGGCTTCGAAGAGCCTTTTTGTTATGACTTTGCTCTTGTAAGCACTTTGACATGCTCAAATATGCATTATATATTAAATTAATCATGCAATTTAAAACTTACAATATGTACCCATTGTAGGTTTTAAAATTCTACGAGACTACGAATTTTATTTGCTTTGACACATTTTATAACTTGCAGTAGTAAAGTAGTGATCTAATAGTACATAAAATTTAACATTTGAATTCATGCTTTTCAGAAAAGTCTGTAGGAAACTCATGTGTTTAATTTGACATTTAGGAAGAGGTTAAAATATTGTTACTGATTTAGCTGTGAATGAATCCTTAAATAAATCATAAACACTATTACTCTTTTCCAGTTTGTCAATTTGACCAAACAAACAAATAAAAAGCACAAAAAAAAAAACAAAAAAAAAACATGCTGAACAATAATTTGTGATCGGTCAATGTTTTAGTTTCAGCGCAGACAAAACACATTTCCTGCAAAGCAGTACAATTTATGAACATTTTTAACAATTGATTATTTAAAACACTGGTGGATGGGGGACTTTTATTATTTATTTATAAGTTTACATTAATAAATGAGTTGTCTTTCAGCATGCAAAACAATAATCAATCTAAGGCACTTATAAAATAAGTGAAAAAAATGTAAAAGCCTTTATTAACATGGCTATTATAAAAAATAAAATAAAAAAAAAACTAATGTGCAACTGTTTGTGATCATGTGCAAACATCCCAAAAATGCATCTTTAATAATGCTTAAAGGCATTTAAAATAAAAGGCAAGATACAGTTATTTCCCATGTATCATGATTTCACTGTTTTGCTGTAAGCAGGCTGGAGAGAGAGACAAAAGATTTCTGTGAGGACATTCATTCCAGCGATGAGCATGAGTGTAACGTAAGTTGATGTACTTCATTTGTAATATTTGCTTTTTGAAAATGTATGATTTATCTTATAATTATCTTTTTGAAATCTTTATAACTTTAAGTTCATCTGTCCATAGTAACTGTCAATCTAATTGTGATTTACTGCAGTTCCTACTGGCACACAGGCAACAATAAAACACAGCAGCTACAACATGCAGCCACAAAACAACTGAAAAGTACATCAAATCTCTCATTAAAGGTCTCAGCAGAGGATGATTAAACTGATCTACAAAAAAAAAAACATTAGCCGATTCAAGCATTAATGTTTGGTCTAGTCACTATTGTAGATATCAGTGTTTGTTGGACTCCTGACCCTTGCCTTTATAATATACTTTTGTTTCTGTGGCTGTTGTAAAAAAAAACCTCACTAGTAACAAATCAATCAGAGAAAAAGTGATTGTGATGTTGACAGTGTTTTGACTATGGCATTTATTCACCCATCTCATCCAGTATTTAATCTCAGGTTTATTTCACATTATTCATCATCCGATTCAACAGTGTATGTGAATAATAGAGTAAAATAATCTAGAGAGGCATTTTTCAGCAAAAAAAAAAAAAAATTGATCTAAAGTTTGACATCAATGAAACACTGCATTCTGGGTGAACTAATCAAACACAAGCATGAACCCAATATGCAGTATACATTCATTCATTTTCTTTTTGGCTTAGTCCATTTATCAATCAGGGGTCGCCACAGCGGAATGAAAAGCCAACTTGTCCAGCAAATGTTTTACACAGCGGATTCCCTTTCAGACACAACCCATCACTGTGAAACCTCCATACACACTCATTCACACACATACACTACGGACAATGCGAGCGGTGGCAGTTGAGCTAGGTCTATTTTCCCATTGCTGGGCATTTCACTGGGTTGTCATAAAACAGCAGTTTCAATAAAGAGTAAATTTACCCTAAAACAGCTCATTTCTTAGGGACAGGGCACCATCTGGCACCCACACCCAGAGCCTCTACGTGTGGTCCTTAGACGGGGGGGCGGAGCACTTAACGATGGTTAACACCACCACTCAGGCTTAAACACCCTCTATGAGGCATTCCTACACTCTAAAGTGGAGTCTGTTTGACGAATGGTGTACATCTCACAGAGAAGACCCTCGGACTTGCCAGATCAGGGTTGTGCTTTTCTTTCTTTATGATGAACTGGAGTGAAGGCTGTCCCCTTCACACTAAAAGTTTAAGTTACTGCCATCTCCACTCATCATAACGCGATAGATGGTGGCATGCTGGGCATAGTAGATGCCATCACCCTCGCTTATCAATGCCAGGGTGAGCTGTGCCCCCCAAGAGTAAAAGCACACTGTACAAGGAGTTTCGCCTCCTCTTGGGTGTTAGCACACAGTAGCCCCTTTCACACAGTGATACCGGTAAATATCTGGAAAATTTCCGGAACGACATTATCGGTAATGATTAAATCACACTGAACTGAGCTAAACTGAACTGAACTGAACTTAAACACTAAAACCTGAACCACACTGTTCCAGTTACTGAACCGCACGGTTCCAGTTACTATGACCATTTATGTGAAGCTGCTTTGACACAATCTACATTGTAAAAGCGCTATACAAATAAAGCTGAATTGAATTGAATTGAATTGAATTGAAAAAAGCGCTGTTCACACAGGCGAGGACGTTACGGAAATATTCCGGAAAAGAGCATTCACACATCCATTCCAAAATACCGGTAAATTCTGACCACAAATGAGCTTTAAACGGCTGCGCTTGTATTTGTAAACATTTGACTAAATTACAAACTCTGTGGATGATCAATATTGTGAACAACTTTCGCAGGATCACTTTCGCATGTCGAGATGTTCATAATATGTGCGTGTGCAGGTGATCATAGGCTGTATCACAGGCACACGCAAAGCTTGAAGATAAACAAACAACGGCTTATCATAAGCATCTCATCGATGATTATTTACACAGTTGGCATTAAGAAGAACATATAAACGTGATCTGACTAACTTCTAGCAGCTAAATGTGTCTGGAAAAATTGTCAAAGGCTTTTATCTTTACAAACCGCGCGGACGTAAATGCGTCTGACTGTTGTGATTGGCTAAAGCAAACGTCTCACGTCAGCACGTTCTTGACATGCACGCGCTTATTACGGCAATCTTCCTTCTGCATTCACACAGCGCAGCATTCCGGCAAATTGCCGGTAATTTTACAACTTCTCTTTCCGGTAAAAAGCCAGAACGAATTTACCGGTATTTTCAAAAAGGACCTGTTCACACATACAACCTTTCCAGAAAATTGCCGGCAATTTTCCGGAAAGGTCTGTATGTGTGAAAGGGGCTAGTGCCTCTCTAGCAGACATCTGTAGAGCCATGGGCTGTGAGACACCTAATACATTTGCAAGATTGCATAATCTCTAGGTGGAAAAATTAGGAAACCTGGCTCGGAGTGGAAACACGCTTGCTGCACCTTTCACCCTAACACGGAGATGCAAACACTTTCCTTTGCTCTGCTAGATGAGTTACCCATTTGGTATTTTTTTCTAGAAAAAGCTACATACAATTCTGCTAGTGAGAGAGTTTGAGTTTGAATGGTGGTGGATGATTTAAAGGGTGAGAGTGAATTCTCCGAAATCGACCTGTCGTTCTGCCGTAGGGGGTGTGATTGGCGAAAGGAGTGTGGTGAGGTCAATGTCAGCACCTGATAATATGAGGTTTTTGATTGCATTTGAGACTGGGGGTGGTTCCAGAGAAACGGGAGGGGTGGGGTGTGGCAGTGGACAGGGTGAAAGGGTGAAAGGGGGGCGTGCGGTAGAAATTTGTGTAGAAACAGTGGAATGTTGGGCTGGATCAGTGCTGGAAGTGAGTGCTTGGTAAAGGGAGGAAGAAGGAAAAAAGAGGTGATGCTAGAGGGAGGAAAGTGGGCGGGTACGGGATAAACATTAGAGTTGGAGCTGGTAGTAGGCTGAAGAAATTGTATTGATGTATGAGGGGGTTAATGGGATTATGGGTGATAGGAGTGTGGAGGGGGGCTGGGCGTTATGCAGGTGAAGGTAGTCGATGGCTTGAGGTTGTTGAATTCTGACGGCGTTGAGCTGTGGTAATGCACATGGGCCTGCAGCCTCTCACTGGAGCCTCGGCTACTTGTCCGATTCCTGGCAGGGCTGTGGGGCATTGTGCCGCTGCTGCCATGTCTGGAAGAGCAGAGCTCATGCTGGTGGTGTTGTGTAGTCTCCATTGGTTGGCATTCTGGTGATGAGTAGATATTGCTTTTAATGGCTCGGTATCTTCCTAGTATATGGTCTTCCAAAATTAACATAAGTCAGAAGGCGAAATACATCTATTTATTCTAAGCTTGAATTAATCTGATTGGACTATTGCTGATTGTGGATGAGAGGCCAAAAATTTGTTTGTAAAACTTGTTTTATTGCTGCATGTGGCCACTATGAATTTAATAATATTATTTAGACAGAAATGATTAGAATGCTATTTAGTAGACATTTCTACCCTACCCACACTTCAGAATATTGCAAAAAGATTAATCTGGTTATCCTGATAATTTTTTTCATTACTCTTTTAGGAGTGTTACTTTTTGTTGTGTTCTACTTGAAAGTAAGACGTCGTTTTCGGATGCTGCCTAAGTGTCTGTTGATAATTATTTTTTATGTTAAAATGCAACATAAAGCGGCTGTATTTTTTATGATAAATGTAATAACTATGGCTATAAATAATATTCTGAAAAATGTTTCTCCTTATTTTACAGAGAGCCCCGCCCTTCACCACGCAGACTAACATTGATTCAGCAAGGTCCTCCAAAGCTCTTCCGTCTACACACAGAAAGAAAAATACGTGATGAAAATGGGAAAGTCCGAAAATGGACTTTTGAAAAAAAAGATGTCACTAGGCAAAGCAAAATCATCCTGCTGGTGGGAGAGACTGGCGCTGGTAAGACCACCATCATCAACACCATGGTCAACTACTTGCTGGGAGTGACATTTGAGGAAGAAACGTGGTATGAAATCACTGAAGAAGAAGTCAGAGATCAATCAGAGTCCCAAACCTCTGAAATCACCATGTATGAGGTCTTTCCAGTGAAGAGTCCCATTTCTCTCACCATCATTGATACTCCAGGTTACGGAGACACTAGAGGACTGGAGAAAGATCTGGAAGTTGCGGAGAATTTATCTGCTCTGTTTCAGAACAACGATGGAGTTCGAGAAGTCGATGCTGTGTGTTTTGTGATTCAAGCGGCCAAGAATCGTCTCTCAGACAGACAACACTACATTATCAGCTCAATTCTGTCTCTGTTTGGGAAAGACATTGTGAACAACATCGTGTTTTTAATCACACACTCTGATGGTCTTCCTCCTAAAAATGTCCTCGGTGCCATTAATAAAGCTAAAATCCCCTGCAGACGAGACAATAGTGGTCAGCCTGTTCATTTCTTGTTCAACAATCGTCAGGCTGAACCTCGACATAATGAGAAACGCTACATTCGTGCTCAAAAAGAGGCCTGGGAAAACAGCATGGATGAGATGAAAGAATTCCTTGATTCTTTGAAAGACAAGAACAGATGTAGTTTAGAGTTGACTTTAGATGTCCTGATCAACCGCATTTATTTTGAAGCATCCATCAGCAACTTACAACTGAGAGTTGAAGAGAAAGAGTCTAAGAGGTCTGAAAAAATTCAAATTCAGGAGGCAATAAAACAGAACAAGAAAAAGATTGAAATGCGCACAAATTTCAGCATTAAAGTCAAAAGGACAGTCAAATTGAAGGTGCCCATTGAAAGCAAGTCTTGGAAGAACAGAAAGGCGACAACTTGCACCGTCTGTGAGGAAAACTGTCATGAGTTTGAATGCTGGTGGGTTTCTAATCCCAGCCAATGTGAAGTCATGAAAAATGGTTTCTGCACAGTGTGCACAAGAAAATGCCACCACAGCAAACATGTCAAAGAAAATAAGAAATACATAATCAGAAACTCAAGCATGATAATAGATTTTGACAGTTTTAAAGAGGAAAAGGAAAAAGCCCAAGAAGATTTTGATAAGTTTTCAGTTATAATGGATGATCTTGATCAAGATTTGAAGGACATTGAGGACCAAAAGTCAAATCTTCTGTCTCATGCATACCAGACCATCAAGCATCTGTCTCAGATCGCTCTAAAACCAGACTCTGCCTTCACCCTCCAGCATCTGGACTTCTTTGTTCCCAGAGTGAGGGAGGCTGGGAAAGAAGAATGGGTTCAAAAGCTGGAGGAGATGAGGAGAATAGCAGCAGCTGAAGAAGCCAATAAAGACGCTCTGAGTTACCTGAAAGCTGGACTTGAAAAAATGTTCTTTAGTGGGGAATAAATCAGATCAAAGAAGAAAATGGTTCAATTTACCAAACCAGTTGTTCAGGTTGTCTCGCTTATGCATGCTGAGCCCCCCTCTTTGCCCTGGACTTTACCTTCTCCACCAGAGCAAGTTTGTAATATATGGTGTATCTTGTGGCTTTATATTCATGTTTGGTGTCATTTTAAATGTCTTTGTGTGATTGGTAAAACGGTCCTAATTTCACTGTAATTTTACAATTTCCCTTATTTCAGTTAATTTGGATTTTGACTTTGATAAGATCTTTGCCAGATGCTCCACTCCAGGGAAAATGGTCTTCACATCAACTCATGACCAGGCAAGAGTTTTGGTGAAGCTTTTATTGTCTTGAATTTATGATAATTTGAGTATTTAGTCAAAGCGGGCAGAAGTGTCTGTGGGATTCTGTAGTCAGGATACCCCATTGCAGTTTGTGAGTCTCTGAGCTCTGCATCAGGATTTATATACTGCAATGTACTTCTACACAGTCAGGTATTAATCTCTAACTCTTAAATGTATGTTTGAATAATTGATGTTGTACAATCTTGAATGGCTTATTATGTTTAATTATGGGAATTGGAATGGAAAATCTTTGCCTGACAAATAAATGTAAAAGTCTTGTTTAACTCTAATATCTCCTGAAATCATTTAAATCTTTTAGATTGTTTAGGCTGATGTTTGACCAGGATTAGTCATACATTCAGGCTCAATAGATGGAGCATAGGCACAGCATTAGAGAACTTTTGATCACTGGCTTAGTATGATATAGTCTAGTGACTAAATGAAACTTTCTCCATAAACCTCCACTCCCCAGCAGCCCTGTCCTGACCTCTTCATGCAGCTCAAAGGACCGAGCTGTCCCGGGAGAAGCTTGCTAATACCCAGAATTGGACCATAGGCCATCTGGCCATTCAAAGCAGTTGCAGACCTGGACAGAGTCATCCAGCCCAGCACCTCCTTGTGCTGCAAAAGGGAGGATTTCTCCCTATGAGCTATCAACCAAAGCTGAAACTGGACGCGGGCGTCCCGCGAGACACTTTAAACACACAAGACAGGGATAATTTGTCCCAACTGGCCCGTAGCCAAGGCTGAACCTGGACGAGGGCATCCCGCGTGACACTTTTAACACACAAGACAGGGATAATTTGTCCCAATTGGAACGTAGCCAAGGCGGAACCTGGACGCAGCAGGTGTCCAGCTTTGAACTAAGGAGACAGGGCTTAATTGTCCCAACTGAAGCTACTTTTACCACACAGATAGAGGAATAATAAAGACACTGAACACCATATGACCGCTAAGTTGTACAATATTTATTCAGGACGATTCAGAGTCTTCTGTTGGTTCGAGTGGACAAGCCCCCTGGTTTTTCCCCTTGGCAGGCTGCCATGGCAGCGTCCTTCTGCTGGTTCCCTCCTGGAAAAGAGACAGGGCTTTCTGTGCCCGCTGCCTCCCCATCCTCCTCGACCAGGGCCCTTTCAAATAGTCTGCGGCGCTCACGTGCTTGGAGAGGTCCGAGATGAAGTGCGTAGAACTTATCTGAGGTTGAAGTATCATGGCACATGAATTGCGCCAACTTGCGGCGATCCTCTGAAGAGTGTGCATTCTTTGCCTGCGTTGGAGAGAGACAGACAGGCAGAAGCTTGTTTAGGATCGAAGCCGCCGGTGGTAGTTACAGGGGCGTCTCATGCATACTCACATGGGTCGTGATGGCAGTCCATACGTCAGTAAAGGTCGGTTTGCCTGGAAGGCCCATACTGATCCATGCAGACTGAAAGTATTTGTTCAGGGTCCGACAAGGATTGGCTCTGGAAGTGAAAAAGAAATAGGTAGCCTGGCTCCCTCCGGGGAGACCAGCCCACAGCGTCAAGAACCTGCGGAACCAGCTGTATTCCTCCCTGTTTAGAGACAACTGCGCCGCCCCAAAGGCTCTGTTTGTCTTATGCATGGTGATCTGGCATCAAAGAACAAGCAGAGAGAAGAAGTGAGTGAGAGCATGCTACTGGTGACCCCCACCTTATTTGCGCCATACTCACGTTAATGACAAAAGCAGACTCATCCGGGCTTCTGGAGGCCTCTTCAACCTCCTGGATTGTCAGATTCTTGAAGACTCCACAGCGGTGCCCCAAGATGGAGGTTAGGTAACCAGTCAGAAAGCCATAAAAGTGCCACTGTTACCTATTGTTTGTGTTGGATTCCAGGCTATCTGATGAAGGCAGTGAGGTTAGAAAAATTAGACGACCAACGGTTTAATTTCCTCTCTGGGTCACCAACAGCTCTTGGTTCAGCCAGCCACGTCCGTCTGCCCCTCTCCCCCGCGAATGGGAGCAGGGTAGGTGGGGTGGGGGTCAGCCGGGAGCAAGCGAGGATAAACCCGGGGGGTGGGCAGCGTTGCGGACGGACGGACGGGATGCAAACGCGCACACTCGGTGGGGGGGTGGCTCTACGCTGCCCCTGAGGACTCGATTCACCATGCCGGGTGACTCGAACGAACCCACCAAGCATCCCCCAGCCCTCGCAGGGCGAGGGGCGTGGGCCGAGTATTGGCTGGGGGAAAACGGAGTCCAGGGGGGGCGGGCTGGCGGGCTGAGCGGCAGACAAGCTCAAAGTCAGACAGGCCAGCTGGGTCCTCACCCAGATGGGGCACCAGCGGCACGTACTTCTAGCCTCAGGGGATAATGAAATCCCGTGTTCACCGTGGGGAGACGGACGCTCTCTCGCAGCTTGACAGCTCAGCCATGAGGCCCCTGCCCCTCCAGGACGCGCATGCCGCGACCTGCGGGGAAACTGACGCCCTCTCGTGACTTGACAGCTCAGCCATGAGGCCCCTGCCTCTCTGGGATGTGTGCGCGGTGGCCTGCGGGAAGCTCAGCTGCGTCCTCCTGCCTTTCCGGGGCGCGCGCGCGCACTGCAACTTCCGGGGAAACGGATGCCCTCTCGCAGCTTGACAGCTCAGCCATGGGGCCTTGACTCCCATGGGGTTCAGCCCACCGGCCTTGCCCGGGTTCGGTCGCACCTCCTGGGGCAACAGGCCTACTCTTATACCACTGGTTCCTTCAACCGTTAAACCCAAAATTGCACTAAGTCCCTTTTTCTTCGCCTTCACCAAAACCCCGACAGCAGGTCAGCGAAACCCTGAGTCATGCTCGCACCTCGGGACATGCCGAGAAAGGTGGTCTCTCTTCGGGCATGGCTTGGTGGGCTCTCCCCTGGGTCTAATCAATGCCCCCGGTGAGCTTATCCATGCATTTGCATTGAACTGTGCCGTGCCACTGGTGATGCTTTTGGGGCCTGGGTCTTTGGCTGGACCAGGGCCATAGCGCGCACCTGGCTTGCCCGGGTTCGAGCGCACCTCCTGGGGCGGCGTTTGATGCCTTTGGGCCCTGGGTCTTTGGCTGGACCAGGGCAGTAGCATGCACCTGGCTTGCCTGGGTTTGAGCGCACCTCCTGGGGCTGCATTGGATGCCTATGGGGCCTGGGTCTTTGGCTGGACCAGGGCAGTAGCGCGCACCTGGCTTGCCCGGGCTCGAGCGCACCTCCTGGGGATGCGTTTGATGCCTTTGGGGCCTGGGTCTTTGGCTGGACCAGGGCGATAGCGCGCACCTGGCTTGCCTGGGTTCGAGCGCACCTCCTGGGGCAACAGGCCCCCCCTTAGAGCCCTGGTTCGTTCAATCGCTAAAGCCAAATTTGCACTAAGTCCCCTTTTTCAAGCATTCTCCGAAACCACAACGGCAGGTCAGCGAAACCCAGCGTCACGCACACACCTCCAGGCGCGGGACACGCCGAGAAAGGTGGTCTCTCTTCGGGCATGGCTTGGTGGGCTCTCCCCTGGGTCTAATCAACGCCCCCGTTGAGCGCACTTAGATTCCTTTAGATTCGTAAACGGTGCCGCTGGTGACCCTACCAACTGACTTTGTCGTGCTAGATACCCACCATCCCCCAAATGAGTGTTAAGTTGTTCCAAACAGCAAAAAAAAAAAAAAAAAAATACTTAAGTTACTTAAAGGAAATTAGCTTATCTTCTATATAAGAATCAAAACTGGCAAGGATGTGTCCGTGAGCAGATGAAACTGGCCAGTATACTGACTCTAATCGACTCTGAACGATGAACCCTTAATTAGGAATAGAGATTTATTTGGTTAATAGATCTAAATTAGATCAAATCACAACCTATAAGGTAATCAGCTCGAATTTGATGAATCTAAATTTAAATTATTATAAATCAGAGTCAGATTAAAATTTGGAGCTGGAAACAGATGAAAATCAATTTTAACAAAAATATTTTTTTTTGCTAAAAAGGCTAACACATTTTAACCTTCACCCATGCTGTTCCGTCATAGAACTAATAGATGGACCCTTACAATGTATTATTAAAGTTCAGAGATATAACTTATTTATCTCAGGAGTTTCCCTAAATGAGACAATGAAAGTAAACATTTACAATGAAAAATTTAATAGAGACATAAACATTCTAAGGGTGTTTAGTTGCTAAAAATAGTATTAAAAGCTGTGTTACAGTATTTGTATTGTGCAACGTATATCTGTAAAGTTTTTGTGCATGTTACTGTATATATGTTGAAATGGAGAGAAGTTGCTGTATGAATGCTGTAATGTTTAAATTAAAAATACATGAAGGTGACATGACCGTCAGGAAGAAAGCTGCATCTCGTTTCTCAGAGCATGCATTCAGTGTTCTCATGGTCGTCCGATTTCATTTATCCGAGATAACTTGGCAAGAGTGGTCTCCACAAGAATTGAGAAACAGCCTATCTCTAATCTTTGATGTACTGCAACAACTAAAGATGATTTGAATTAGTAACATTGTGGGTTTTGAATGCTTTATTTAAAAAAAAAAAAAAATTATTTTATTTTTAGTCAGTCCAGTCCAGCTGATATGGGAGTTGTGATATGTTGCTTCTCACATATCCACAATTGCCATTTGTTTAAAAAAAACAGCGCTGGCCCACTGTTTGCAAGAGTGTGATACATGCTGAACGACATCTGACAACCTGCATGTTAAAACAAATTAACAGACACTAAAA